AGCACTTGGGAAATAAGGGAAAATGTCGTAAAGGATTTCGCAATTGATTGAAATAAAATATTTCAAGCGTATAATTCATATTGTCTCTTCAAAAACAAGGAGGCAGCACGTAACAACGAGGCTGCTTGAACAATGATCTTCAGTCACAAAAAGTGAACAGTCACAAGATGTTGAAAAATGCAAAGGTGGTGCCGAAGACAATGATTGATTTACGAATGATGAAAGTCAAAAGTACGATAAAAAGGAAATGAGCTCGCAAATGGTCTTGGGAATGCTCACAAAAGAGCAGCGCTCAATTTCCTGTGGATTCGTGTTAAGATGCATTCATACATGGACAGTTTGTGAAAGGCCCGTATGATAGCAGTTGAAAACTCAAATAAATACATCAAGTCATAAGTAGGCGATAAACATTTGAACAACCACAACATGTATGGTAGAAAACCCCTCCTACTACAACAATACTGAGCGTGCTGAATGATTTGCTCTTACCGTGTTACTGCTAGAGTCTGTAGGAGCCCACATGATACTGGCATGCCGAAAGTGAGATCCTTCCACTGGCGGTAACCATTGGAGAATCAGAAGAGTAAGAAGAAAAACCGACATCCTGCAATCCATCCTTTCGATCGATCGAAGTGCTCTTGTTCTGGAGGGACCAAGGAAAGTATTACGATGTGTCGAGCTTCGACGATTTTGTGATTGGCAGCGTACCTTAGTTGGTAGTCAAAAGAAAGCAATTTCATCAGTGGTTACTTCACACTGATAGCATTTGTCTTCACCGACCCACGAAACATGGTGTCACAATTGGTATTGAGAGCAGATCCTTCAATAGCGTCAGGCACAGTTTCTAAAAACAGATTACATCACCAGAGACTCCTACATGACTCAGACAAGAATTATAGTCCGGTAGAAGGTTTTGTATGAGCGCGTTGTCTCTTAACCAGAAAATCAGGCAAAAATGGAAAGATTGGTGGTCGAGATCTAGGTTTTTGATTAACTTAAACAATGCTAGAAAGCAAACACTGCTGCCGTAGGTAATGCAATACGGTTTCAAGGAGTCCAGAAAAGAGCCTAAATATCATAAATTGCACAAGGATCTTACAAAGACAGTTTGACAGATTCTAAAACCCTCAGGAATTGAAAGTCAAAAACTTTTAACGACGTGGTTGCGTCTAGCCGATCAGAATACTGGACACAGAAACGCATTACGAAGGAACTTATCTGCTGTTTATTAAGGTCTTAAAGAAATGACTTGAAGCCAGAAATATTCAAAGTTGACAACCCGAGCCGTCCACTCAAACGAATGCGATAGACCGTGCAAGAGGACATAATTTTCATAATAAGGATCCCTGAGACAATTCCCAGTGTATGGCAGAATAAGTGCACTATGCAATTTAATAGAGCCATATATCCGACCACATAAACAAATCTGTGACTGTGATAAGATCGCAACTGCATATATTTCATAGATATATCTGCCTCGATACGTATAATATGTGTAATACAAATAGCGGGGGCTAAATTGTTTCAGTATATATGCATAGACAGAGCGGACCAGTTTCATTACGACAAGGCTACGAATCGGATCAGATTTACGGTATTTCTTTCATTTCTTTTCTGGCTTACTGGCTTTCTCGTAAGTAATTCACCAGAATGTCGGGCACAATGACTATGCCATGGACTTAAGGATAGTATTCAAAGGCAGCCTTCAGGACTAAGTGAGAAGGGCATTATATTTTTCCGCCCTCATTCAAACTCTGGATTATTATTATTCCAAGGTGCACGTAGTGGTTTTTCTCTAACATTTTGAGCTAGAGAGACTGTCGAATTTCGAAATTAATGGCCCAGTATGGCACTGAAGCGCTCACGGGAGCCGTTGCTTCATACATCGCTCTTCAAAGAAGTAACCCATGGAATATTTTTTTGTTTTTGTATGAGACACACCGAGGGTTCAATTTTCGTGACGTCATTAGTGCGCGACGCTATGTTAATAGCGTTTCTTAAAAGAAACTTTCGTAGAAGGCGAGCGAAATCTACAGAAATTTGAACTTGTCGCCCGAGCGGCAAGAAAATTTGGTGATCGGTGTTAAAGACAAGGATTTTTTACTTAGGCAGAGGGATTATCATTTCAGAAAGCGATGGAGTCGAAACCACACTGAGTCAGCAGCAAAAATCCTTGGAAAACGAATAAAACAAATGCACTGTAGAAAAGGTGCACAAGTTCACACGAGTTCAAACCAGAGGGCAAGAAGCCAAATTCTTCCTTTAACCAGAAGAGAAAACCAGAGATTTTTAAGATAAACCAGGGAAAGGAAAAAGGAGGGAAGGTGCAAGATGATTGTGGCAATCAGATGCACTGCAAAACACGAGGCTTTCCTGCTTATGGTCAGGGGTGCCTCAAACGTAATAAAAGTAATCAGTTCGCGTCATATTGCAACGCAAAACGGTCGTCTCCAATCAATGTTGTCTCAGACGAAGATGATCAACTCTGGCTATCTTTCAGTGCTTCAAGTGGAAAACGTGTTGACCCTAGCTGGTAAAGGAAGGCAAGTTCTTACCGAGTCAACTTTCCCTATAGTGGACGCCGACCACGTTAACTGGTACAAGAAATCCATGGCTTTCCAGCTGGACACTTGAGCCTCGCACGTGATCAATTAACTAGACCTCTCAATTCATTTACAGAACGGAATGCCTAAATTAGGACAGAGCTCAGAGTTCAGTCAAGCTCAAAATGCACGATGGCACAATCAAGAGACCCACAGGACAGAAGAGGCGTGTCTAATAGCGATACACAATGGTAGTTTTAATTAGTAGATCGCATTAACAAGCCCCTCTTGTCAGCTCATCAGAGACTTAAACAAAGCCTTAAAGCGACAAATGTACCAAATGCCCAGATTGGAAGACAAGCTTCCCTGACTAGCAAAGGCAGAGGTATTTTCCACGCTGGATTCAAAAGGCGTTAATCAGATCGGTCTTAACGAGGAAAGTAGCATGGAAACCATCTTCTGGACCCCTCGTACTTGAGAATGTCATTTGGAGCAGGCCTGGCGCCAGACGAATTGAATGCAAGCTCCATGAGACGTTAGATGAACCTCCAGGAGAAGTCGTTTTGCGAGATGATGTATTAGTCGTGTGACAAGGAGAGATGATAAGACCATGACAGCGGCCTGACCAGGCTTCCCAAAGAGCAACAGAAACAAACCTGAAGCTGAACAAGTTCAAACTTAAGCTCAGACAGCCAGAAGTAAAATTCGTGGGGCGTGCCATTCACTAACCAAGGTTTAAAACCGAATCCAGAAAACGTGAAAGCTGTGGAGGAAATGTCTGGTCGTGCCTGAAAGGAAGAACTGGTGACCCCTCTGGGCTTCCTTTAAATGTCTGCTGAAATTTCTGCCTCGGCTTACAGAGGTAACTCAACCATTACCTGAACTCTCAGCCAAAGAAGCACAACTCCTCTAGCTGGTCACGTCCCCCAACGCGAGTCCGCATTCGCCGACATCACACACGAAGTGATCATATCAGTTAAGAGTGCTGTCATTTTAAGGTGTCTCAAAACAGTTTCCAGCACTTAGATTTTTATGGGTCATTGTAACCACTCTTTATCAGTTGATGCTACAATCATGGTATCAAAAAACTGCCCAATCATAGGTGAACACGTTGTTATCATTTTCGCGATGCAATAGGTTACCATAGCAACAGTATGACCTCCTAAAAACACCCTTAATTACAGCTTTAGGGGCTTATAATTCAACAACGGCACCGTGGAATTTTTTTAAATCATCAACTTTTGATAAGCATGATAAGACGCCTCTAGGGTGTAGAGATCCCTTGTTAGCTCTGCTCGATTATCAAAACACCTCCACGGAAGGTATGAAAGCCAGTCCTGCTGCCGTAGAACACGAACATTGTTTCCAGCCGCGACCAGCCTTCTCCATCCGAAGGTTGTAAATGGAGTTGATGAGCAAATCAAACAGAAGTGCGATCGTGATCGCACACTTAAAATACTGCCAGAAATAGAAGTTGTACAGGAAGTAAGGACTGCCCCTGTGGAGCAGAGCAAGCCACGGAAGAGCACAAAGTGCGTGCCTAAGCCCTCTAACCGTTCTTACCCGGGAAAGACGTCGAAAGAAACGGTACGTAGGAACCGACAAAGTTTTACACCGCCTAGCTGTCTGCGATGTTTGCACCCAATATCACTCTCGGATTCTCTTGAAGAACTTACGCAAGCCTCATTTGGAGCTGCAAATGCTACATCACCTGCCGTACAACAATCCGCTATCAAGCCTCAGAGTGTCACCTGTTCATAAGAGAAGACACCTGCTGCAGACCTCCCTCGCTATACCAGGACTTAATCAAGACCTAACACCGACTCTTAAGTGTTGATCGCTTTTATCCAGATGCTTGCATTTTTTTTTTTTTCTTTTTCTTTTTTTCATTTAGAGAGACTTTTGAACATTTTGAGACTGGTTCATATGATCAACACTAAGCTGTTTGTTGTTGTAATTTGTTGTTGTTGTTGAATATTAACCGTGCTAATTTTGTTACAGGCATCGTTACGTTTTGTTTATTTAATTGAATTTTGTAGGAGAAGGGTAATGGTTCATTATGTCCAGTCAAGGTTCGACGATTTGTGATATAGCGATTGGCACCGTGCTTTCTCTGGTAATTAAAAGGAAAGCAATTTCATCCTGCGTCCCGTTTTGACACTTTATTTGATATCAACATCGGAAATGTTGGGTTATTTTTCATGCAAATTTTCATGTCTACTGGAGATGGCAGGTTCTCTGCAGAGAATGTTCTTCCAAATGATGCAAAACACAATATGTTATTACACTTCTATACAGAGCAAGCCTCTCTTAAAGAGCTTTCAACGGAGAGTTTATTTTGGCTGCCATGTTGGGGTGCAAAAAGTACTCAGCAAAACCAGGGAGGTGTCATGTGAAAATTATGGCCAATCCCACTTGTTTGACTTGCCCCCCCCCAACCAAAAACCATTACACCAGTACAAAACACCAATATAACTTTTATATATTTTATATTTATAAAAACTTACAACTATAAGTCACAAAACGTTCAGGCATTACCAGCGTTTTTCTCGTTACAGTTTGATTGCCTTACAACCTAGGATAAAAAGCTGAAAAATTCTAAAAATTAATTTTAAAGGGAAATTTTCCTTTCACCTTAAAATACTACATCCAACCTACATGCAAGTGGATCAAAAGTGAGACAAGGAAAAAGATGATGGCTTAAGTTTGATTTCTACAATGAAAATTCATCTGCCTTGAACATTGCATGATCTATTTCCGTCACTCAGAGATATTATATATTGCTATCATATAATTGCTTCAGTTCCCACACATGTAGCAACGCTTTTATCAGCAATACTCTTGATTGATGTACTCCACATTTAGACATTTTGTAGACCTAGAGGACAAATAAATATTACCATTTAATTAATTTACTTTCAAATTCGAACTAACGAACTATACAGTAAAAATATTTCAGTTCCATTTCAATTCTTGTAATATTTCCCTCCCTCTTGAAGTAAAAGGGTTGACAGCATGGGTGGAAGGGCGAGTCTGGCGTCCCTTTATCTCACCCCTCACAGCGGCCATCTAATAAACCCCCTTCTAGCAGTGGACCAGTTCAGTTCAGTTTTATCATTGCACACTGTTTACAGAAAACAACTAAACATAAGATGGTTTACAATGACACAGAAAAAAAATACAAGTAGAAATTAACTAAAAGAAACAATATTTAGTTGTGTACAGTGACCAAAGTAGCCAATGAGCTTTCAAGTTGGTCACTGTCATGCAGATATAAGTTGTCGTTGGCCGCATGTTAAATATAATTTAAATTAATATTGGAGAGAAGGAAACGTTAATTAGAACAGCCCCCTCCCTCGATTTATTATTTGTAATTATTGGAAACCTTTATCTAACATTTAAACGATACTAAAATAAAATAAAATAAACGATAAATAAATAAACGATAAATAAACGATACTACAATATATACCGACTTCAAAACTAAAAAAATAAACTATTAGACCTCAATCCCTACAGCTGGAAAGCATGTTGTGTAAATAATAAATAAATAAATAATAAATATACCTAATTGGCCACTCCCCATTGGGGCTTTTCAGGCTAGCCAACCTTTATGCAACGTGTTTACTTCGGTAATACCAAAAATAAAATATTTGGCTTGTTTCCGAATATCGCAAATTACTTTTCTTGAGGTTATAAAAACCATCAATAAGATCAACTTAATCTCATTTGATTTATACTAACCATATTTCTTTCTGATTTCATCGCGCTTCTCTCGTCTCTCTGCCTCCCTGCGGAGAAAAAAGTGAGAAATAAACAAAAATCAATGATTAGAAAAGTGATTTAACTTAAACAGTAATTTTATCTTCTTTTTTTAAATACAGTTACAAGAATTGCTTGCCCCTGGATTAGTTTCCAGAACTAATCGAGACGGGGACAAGAGTGATCAGGGGCAAGAGTGAAATAATTAGGGGCTATATTATATCCAACCTTGGAAATGAGTTTTATATTTGACCAGATGTTTATTTTTACATACCTATCCTTGTGTTTGGCAGTTATTTCCTGTCGCTTTTTACGGTTCTTGGTCTCTTCCTTGTCGGGTCTGAAATAGCAGCAATGAATTGCAATGTTTCAAAAACAAATTTGTGTTCGCCGCTAAAGTAATTACGATTGTGACAGTTCACGCTAGTTAAGGTGGCGCTGTCCTGATATGTTACGCAGTCAGGGCCAGCTGTTTGAGAACTTGACAATCATATCTCCGGGTCGAGGTTGGCCCGCTAAACACCCTTCGATCGCAACAGTCAAATAACTAAATGAACATGCATACCAACTTAATAATATGAGTAGATATCCCAGTAAGAAGAGTTACATACCCCCTTTGTTTTCGTCTTCGACAACAGCAGCAGTAGATGCAACATGTTAGGCCTACAAGCACCACAAAACCGGTCACAGACAGGGCAATGATCAGGACTCTTCCGGAAACTGTAAATTAAATTACAGCATTTTATCTTAAAAGATAACTTACATGAACTCCACACGGAAATCCACCCCTTAGAAAACTCCCATTAAAAGTGCCAACAGTCTTGATTAGCTGTAAATAGTCAGAACTCAGCACTATCAGTAGTTCGTGATTTTGTTCTGAAAGGAGTGTTGCTGGTGGCTGACTCTGACGTTGTCTCTTGACGTTGTCGAAACGTCAGTCACTAACAAAGGTCGGCTTTCCAGAATAAATGTCGTCCAGACAATCACAGTATACCATGGGGGGAAGGGG